AGCTCACAGTCTGGTGGAGACGGCAGATAATGAACAAGTTAAGAAAGAAATATACAATATAAAGTTATGTGTGTGTGTATGTGTCATAAATGCTATGGAGAACAGAGCTAGATAACATTGGGAGTTCAGAGGGCCCCTCTGAGGAGGTGACATTGAAGCAGAGAGCTGAATGGAGTGATTCAGGTATCTGGTGGAAGAACATTTTTGGCAGAGGGAAAGGCCAGTGCAAAGGCCCTGAGGCAGGATGTTGTGTGGTTTGTTCAGACAAGAGCCTGGAGGCCAGGTTGGCCAGAGTGGAGAGAGAGGAGCAGGGTATGGGAGGAGGAGAGGAGATGATTCCAGAAATGTGACCTTACCTTTAGGGGGCTCTATTCCCTCTCCTGAGGAATGGGTGGGCTGACACCTGCTTCTGAAGGTCACTGTGGGACTCAGGGAGCCCCTGCCTGTGGTTAGCAGCACACGTGAGGCCCTTTAGCTGCTCTGATCCTGTGCAACCTCAGGAGGGCCGGGATGCCCTCTCTGGACTTTGCATTGTGCAGCAGGACGGGCTGGAGCTGATCAGACTCCTTGCTTGGTTCCCAAAGTCTGGCCTTGGCACCTTGGTGCCAGGCACCCCCTCCTCCCTCCTCTTCTTCATTCTTCTGTTCCCTCCTCCTCCCTCCTCTCACCCTCCTCCCCTCTCTCCATCCAGAATCAACATTCCAGTCCAGGAGAGAAAAACAGGGCAGGTTTCCTGCCTCTCCCTGGCAGGGCTCCAGACAGCCACTGGCCATTGTGTGTTCTGGCCTCAAGGTCACTCTGCCCCCACCCCCGCCCTCCCCATTGCAGAAAGGTTACTTGAGAAAAAGCCTCTTGGGGGAGGGGGGAGGGATGGGGGTAGAGAGAGGCACAGGCTGCCTGCAGGCCGGCTCTGGCTCCCACCCATGGCTGGTGGAATCTGAGGGCCCTGAGAACAATCCAGGCTTTGTGGCTTTGTCAGGGAGCTGGGGAGCCACTATCAACCTGCTGGGCAGAGGAGGGCCCCCGTCTCAGCCTTTAGTCTGAAACCTGCTGTGTGATCCTGGGTCAGTTCCTGCCCCTCTCTGGGCTAATTCCTGGCCCTGCTCCTTCCGGACGGAGTAAATTTGGGCAAATCTTTTCCTCCTCTTTGTGCCTCACTTTCCTTTTTTTGTGGTCAAACAGTCCCCACATCCAGGTTCCCCAACTTCCCAGCTGACAAAAATCACCCGGGCTATTTATTTGAAACATTCAGCTTCCAGATCCCTTTCCTGGAGACATAGATTTCCTGGGCCCAGTCAGGGGCCTGGGATGTGCAGTTTTAATAAACAGCTAGGAGACTGGGGAAACGTGGCCCCATTTCAAAGGGAGGCTGTGAGGAGCAAGTCAGAGAATCTGCTGAGGGCAGGTCACCCCGGAACCTGGGACGACGAGCGTCGTGATTCTAAGAGCTCACGGCACATTTATTATTTTTTCTCGTAAGCCATTTTCAGCGCTTACAATTTTCGAGAGCATCATGTATTGTATAAAATGAGGCAAACCTGTGCAGTGGGGTTCATAAGTCCCCCAGGAAGAAGGCATTGCAGAAAAATGGTTATTTTTGGCTTTTCCAGCTGCCTGTTGCCAAAAGCTAACACCTTAGTGGGGGTCAAAAGCATTTATCAAGCACTTATGTACCAGAGTCTTTACTCGTATTGACTCATTCAATCTTTTCAGCTGTCCTAGGAGGAGGCACTATTATTTTCTCCGTTTTGGAGGTGAGGGGAAGCCACATGTCCCATGTCCTGCAGCTATAAGTGGCCGACTGACCTCTGTGTGGGCTCCGGCCTGCGACCTTGACTGGTGGAGGAACGAGGGGGACTCGCCGGCTAGCGCCTCCACCTGGCAGCCGTGGGAACTGCGGGACCCTGAGCAATGTTTCCAGCTCTCTCTCTGCCTCAGTTTCCCCACCTGTACAATGGAGGAACTGGCAGTAACTACCAGTCAGGGTTGTTGGAGGAATTCATCGAGAGTGCACACAAAAGGACAAAATCGATGCTCGAGATATGGGAGTTATTATTATTTTGGGGTTATTGTTGTTCCTTCTTTGACTGTTAAAGGAGGGGATCGAACTGCCTGGAGGATTCAGCCAAGGAGCCCAGAGATGCCGAGAGGGAGGGCAGACTCGGTCCCGGGGACATCCGAGCCTCCACACCCTGAGGATATGGGATCTGGCTTGACCCAAAAACCTGAGCTGCCTGCCTCCGCCCCTCCCGCTGGCCTCATTCTGCTTTGCACAAAGGAAGCCCCAGTGAGCACAACCCCAGTCTTTCCCAAACCCGTGCTACTGCGGCTGTGGCTCTTTCCTTTTGGGCTTAAGTGACACAGGCCGTTCTGTCCAGCTTGGGAGGTAGGAGTTCTAAGTTCTGGCATGGCAGAGCCTGCCAGCTGCCCACCTGGAATCCATTCTTCCTGTCTTCCTTAATATCATGATCCTGATGGTCTTTGGGGCAGCAATATACTAGGGAAAAGACTACGCATCCCAGCCTCTCTTGCAGCTAGGGTGGTCACGTGACTAAGAGCTGGCCAATCAGATGCAAGTGGAAGTTATAGGCTGGGACTTTGGGACAGGTTCCTTAAAAGGGGCACAGTCCATAAAGCAGTATGGGGCTGTTTTTGCCCTTTGTCCCCTTCTTTCTGCTTCCTGGTGGAACATGGGTGAGGCAGCTGCAGCTCCAGCAGCCATCTTGGACCTTGAGGTGATTGAGAGAATGGAAGCCCCAAGTCGAGAATGATGGAGCAGAAAGATAGAAAGACTGTGTCCCTAATGTCACTGTCGAGCCACAATTCTAGCTCTGAGCAATCTGCTTATGGGCACTTTTTATGTGAGAGAGAAATAATCTTCTGTCCATGTAAGCTCTTCCAAACACTGGTTTCTCTTTTGTCATATATATTAAGGTTCTCTCTCTTTGTTTTTTTGTGTTATTTCCGGTCTCTCTTACTAGCCTCTGAAGAGATATTCCAACCAATATATGTAGGCTCTAGCCCCATGTATGTTGCTGACTCTTATGTGAACTTGGAGGGGTGGGGAGAATATGGACACCATTTCTGATTTTGGGGCTGGATTGTGTTGGCGTTAAGAGTAAGGGCTCACATCCACCCTCACTTCCTAGCTGTGCCATTGCCCGAAACCTCGTATTGGACACCACTGATTTAGGTAATAGCTTTCAAATTCCATGAAGCTCTCTTAGTGCCCCCCTCAGGTGGGGCAGAGTCAGTGGATGGGACTTTTGGCTTTCTCCTTCTTTTGTTGGCCAGAATTGGTCACACGGCCACCTGCAGCTGCAAAGCAGTCTGGGAAAGTGAGTACTTGGCATTTTCAGTTCCTTTCCTGGGAGGCAGTGCCCGAGGGGACGGGAGTGGCTGCTGGGGAGCTAGCCACAAGGCCCACCACACCCTCTTCCCTCAATACATAAATTTATTGAACATCTAACCCAAGACAGACTCTCTACTTCAGCCAGACCAGTTTCTCTTTTATTTTACATATTGGTCTCCTCTGTCTCTCATCCACACTTGCAAGAAGTTTGTCTATTTCATCAGCATTTTCAAAGAACCAGCTTTAGGTTTTATTGAATAACTCTACTTTTGTTTTATATTTCATCTATTTCTGCTTTTACCTTTCTTAATTCTTTACCTGTTTTCTTTAGTTTATTTCATGGGCTTTTTCTAGTTTCTTGAGTGGAAAGGTGATTTTGTTCATTCTCAGCTCTTTTCTTTTCGTACTCTAAATGCATTTAAGCCTTTAAGGCTATCATTCCCCCTCTAAGTGCAGCTTTGGCCATATCCCACAGATTTCTAGATATGGTGTTTTCACTGTCATTTGATTCTGGTTGGTATTTTGCATTTTAATTGCCTCTGTAATCTAAGTATTATTTAAATTTAAGGAATTTTTTTTCAAGTGTGCAGACATTTTGGGGGAGAGCTTTTGAATTGACATCTACTTTTATTGCATTGCTATTTGTAATAGTATATTGACCTACCACGTAAGCTTGCATTTGAAGAAAGGGTTCTGAGGCTAATGAAATGGTTTGGAAAACTCTAGTCTACTCTAAGTCCACACCTTGTTACTGATGGACAAACTGAAGGTCTAGTGAATCCATGCCAAATGTAGGATTATAACCCAGATCTTATAACCCTCATTCTGGGGGTCTTTCACCACCCACCATCCCAACTCAACATGGCCATCCCCAGAAAGGCCCTGTCTTTAAAGTTTCTGGGAAATCTCTCTTTCTATCCAAACGTCTCTTTCTACCCCAAGCCTGGAGTCTGCCATCACCAAGAGTCTGACCAACATCAAGAGTATCTCTCTGGTGGGGCATCTTGGCTGGGTAGGGCCTGTGGCTCAGACCCTGCTAGTGAGAGGAATTAGAAAACGCATTCTCTCTGGCTCCCACTCCTCCACTCTCCACCCCGCACCCCCACCCATTCCCCATTTGCATTCACTTATTCATAGGGCCTTTTCTGTGGCTAGAGGAGGAGGGAGATATTTTTAGGATTGTGCAGATGACGTTTGAGAGAGACATGGGGTGGGGGGAGTCCTAGGACAGTGGAGGACACAAAGGGGCATCTTTGGTTAAGTGGATGGAGGCCAGAGGTGCTGGAACTCTTCTTGAGAAATGTGGTCATTCCCTGTCCTGTGCACAAGCAGCTTTGCTTCAGGGCCCGGGTGATGGAGTGAGGTGCCGTGTAGGGGAGGGCCATGTTCCACAGCTGTTTGGTGCCGCAGGGAGGGGCAGTCCTTGGCCCACTGGGAAGCGGGACCCTCAAATGTAACTTGGGGAGACTTGAGAAGGTCCTGAGGCCCTGACTTCAGGTGGTGGGGGCTTGGACCACTGTGATTTGGGTATCCCTGTGCATGCACGCACCCAGACTGAGAATAATCTTGGGTGGGAAACGAAGCAAATGTGGCCACCAGGAAATGCAGGGCTGGTGGTGGCGGAAGGAGAGGCTGACACACACGTGTGTTAACCAGGATGTTTATGGCCTCTGTGACTCCCCGACAGCTCAGCGAAGTGGTAGGGCCCTGTCATCTCTAACTCTAGTGTGGAAGCAGGAGAACAGCAGACCATGATCGGACATCCTCGCTGGAAGCAGGTGGTCCTCCACTCAGGAGGAGGAGACAGGGAGGATGACAGGAGGAGCTCTTCTCTCTGGAGTTCTCCAGGGCCATGCTGCTACTCCAGGACTGTGGGGGAGGGTGGGGCAAAGGGGAGAAGAGGCCGTCAGGGAGGTAGAGGACCAGGTCCCCAGTGCCCCCGTCCCTCCTGCTGCTCCCCTGCCCACCCCCCGCCGCCAGGTGGGCCCACCCGCCCCATGCTCAGCCTGTGCCAGGTGCAGGTGCAGGAGGGTGGCGTTGGTCCTCGTGCAAGGGAGGGAGGTTGACTGTGAGAAGAGAGACAGGATGAAAAGGAATTCCGAGACTTCACCGGGGGTGGCCTGCTGCCATTGAACAGCATTCTCCCCCTGACACTGACTCAGAAAACCAGGATTTGACAGGTGAATGGATGAAGGGGGGTGTCTAGGGGTGGCTGGCAGTGATCAGGTCCCTGATCCTGGAAGCTTCAAGTCTGAGGGAGGAGGACACTGTCCCTGACTCAAGGACATGGCGTCTGAGAGCGCCTAGTCTGATGGGGGAGGCAAGATGCCAGACTGGGGAATGACCCAGTCCTCAGGGTCTGAGAGTTCCTAGTCTAATGGGTGAAACCTGGCCCTGCCTCAGGGACACCGCCTCTCAGACCCCTGGGCATGCTCAGTCTGACGGGGGAGACATGGTCTCCGACTCTCGAAGACCCCAGTCTGATGGAGGAGACATGATCTCTAACTCTGAGAGCCCTCGGTCACAGAGGAGACATGGTCCCTGACTCTGGGAGCTCCCAGTCTGATGGAGGAGACATGGTCCCTGACTCTGGGAGCCTCCAGCCTGATGGAGGAGACATGGTCCCTGACTCTGGGAGCCTCTAGCCTGATGGAGGAGACATGGTCCCTGACTCTGGGAGCTCCCAGTCTGATGGAGGAGACATGGTCCCTGACTCTGGGAGCCTCCAGCCTGATGGAGGAGAC